GAGTGATATAACGTTTGTTTCAGATGAGATTAATCCTGTAACAGATTCACTACGGTAGATCTTACTTGTGCTCTGGGCTAAGACAGTCATCTGTTGTCAAGTCCCATGACAAAAATTTGCTTGCAGGGATGGCAACTCATTCTGTGAATCAAATTACATTAGTACTTGGCACATGTGCTATGGAAATGCTGGGGTCAATGCTGGAGGCAGTGTCTGACACTAGGTATCAGCTTCAAGGATGCTCTCCAGAATTGTCCTAACCACCTTGCCACATTGCAAGTCAGTGTTTTTAACCTTACATATAAAAAGTACAATCTGCACCTAACAACTTCTTAAGGTTATCTCACACTGTGGACAATGTACAATCCCAATTCTGTCAATGTACTGCAGAGTATTTACTTAATTGTTTAAACATGAACATAATCTAATCCAACTGAAGTTGACAGAAGCACATTAGTCAAGATGCCTCTGGTTAATTTGTGACGAAATGTGGAATTTAGACAAAGCAACTTAATTGGATGCTACTGACAAGTTGTGCAGAAAGTAGCAAATTAAATTTCTTCCCCACTAAATGTTTATTATATTGGCAAATCAAATTGAAATCACCAAACCCATTGTTTATTCTTCTTATACTTAATAAACAATGCTGTCAATCATTCTACTCTAATTTTGTTAATTAGACAAAAGCAAAATGACACAGATACTGAAAATCTGAAATAAAAAAAACTAAGAAAGCTGGAAAATCTCAGCATGTACGAGATGGATAGAAACAGCTGTTCTCCCCTTAGTCAATAGGGAATAATTTTAAAGTGAAAGGCAGGAGGAAAGGGGACATGTGATGAAAAAACTTTTTCCACACAGATGTAGGAGTCGTCTGGAATGCACTGCCTGGGAGGGTAGTTGAGGTGGGAAACCTCTCAACCTTTTTAAAAAAATCTGGATGAGCAGACAAAAATGTTATAACAATCAAGGCTATGGGCCAAGTGCCAAAAATTGGGACGAGTCCAGATGAAGGATAGTTTTTTTTAATCATTGCAAATTAGTGGGCTGAAGGGCCTCTTCTATATTGTATGATTCTAGATGATTCTAAGTCAGGCAGCATCTGATGGAAAGTCACCAACCCAAAACCTTAACTCTGCTTCTCGTCACCAGTGTTGTCTGAACTGCTTGTCCTTCTTTTGGTATTCTTATTGCAATGAGATTCCAAGCTTAGTGGTGAAGTACCAATCCTTAAGCAGTTGAACTACACAATGCAGTATTCCATATGTCTGCCTCCCAACTTGCTAACACCCAGTGTCCCACGGCTCTCTTTTATAGGTTGCCCAAAGCACTTTACACACGTCCTTCAACCAGGTAACCTTAACCTTGATGACACCATTAGCAAATACTCAGACACATACACATTCACAAGGCTCCTTGTCTAAACACTGTGCTGTTCGGAGAAAATTTTGGAGCGTGAAACTTTTCCACCAAAAGGAGTGATGTCCTTCTCATTCCTTTGTGATATAGGTGGTGTTGGGAGCAGCTGTGCTTATGTTGAAGGTGACCTGAATTTGGGGCTTGGTCAGTAAATTAAATAAGTTATAGGAGTACGAGAGTGACGAGACATAACTGGAACTAGTGATGTTAAAGGACCAAGTGATAAGCTGAGGTATCATTTTGAGTTAAATGTCTGAATCAGAGTTGAGAAAAACTAGATGAATAAGAAAGAGGATACGATCTCTGTTGTGTTGGGGTACAGTGGCACATTGGTCGTGTCCCTACCTCTGGGGCAAGTGGTCAGGGCTCAAGTCCCAACTGCCACAAAGACGCACCATAACTTGTCGAGAACGTGTTGATTAAAAATAACCTCTAACCACCATTACTGTGAGGTTAATCTCAGGCCAGCTCTGGAGTCCGCAAGAATGAACAGGTGACTTCATAGAATCCCTGCAGTGTGGAAACAGGCCATTTGGCCCAACAAGTCCACACTGCCCCTCTAAAGAGCATCCCACCCTGACTCATCCCCTATCCCTGCATTTCCCCATGTCTAATCCACCTAACCTAAACATCCCTGAACGCTATGGGGCAGTTCAGCATGGCCAATCCACCTAGCCTGCACATCTTTGGGCTGTGGGAGGAAACCCACGCAAACACGGGGAGAACGTGCAAACTCCACACAGTCACCCAAGGGTGGAATCGAACCCGGGTCCCTGGCGCTGTGAAGCAGCAGTGCTAACCACTGAGCCACCATGCCACCCGTTAATGCTAGCAATGCAGGCAAATTGAGGTGCTCAACTGTACAGCAGTGCGTGGCACTAAGTCACAATGAACAGCGAGCTCCTGGGCCCTCCTTCTTGTGGAGGGCACCTGGCAACTTTACAAGTCCATGTCCACGTTGGACAGCTACGTAACTGTGCTGCATGCGTTTTTTCCTAAATTCACTCACAGGACATAGGCATTGCTGGCTGGACCATTTATTGTCCATCCATAGTTGCCCTTGAGAAGGCATTGGGGAAGTGCCTCCTTGAACCGCTGCAGTCCACGTGCTGTAGGTCGGCCCACAATGGCCTTAGGGAAGGAATTCCAGGATCTTAACCCAGCAACACTGAGGGATTAGGGATTAGGGATATATTTCCAAGTCAGGATGGTGAATGGCTTGGAGAGGAACTTACAAGTAGTGGTGTCCCCACTTTTGTTTTTGTGATTTTCATTTCCAGTGCATTCATCAGTTTTCATTCTCATTTCCTTTCTAATCTAAAAAGGACATTAGTGAACCAGATGGCTTTTGCCAACCATCAACAATGGTTTTTTTGCTGAATTCAAATTTCACCATCTGTCTTGGCTAGGTTTGAACCTAGAACCCCAGGGCATTACCTATATCTCTGGATTAATAGTCTAGCAATAGTAGCACTAGGTCATCACCTCCCTCTATTAGGTGGATTGTCTTGAATCCTGCAGCAAATCTTCTGGGATCACATTTCCTCACAACGTGAGGAACACTGCAGTCTGGGTGACCACAGACATGGGGCTGGGGGGCCTTGAAATTCCACTTGAACTTTAATATCCTTGCACAGAGTGTGCATATCCCATTGGACACAGATTACTGTTTGGATTCTGAAGGCACCACTGTCCAATCCCTCACCAGATCTTTTTTGGCCTAGTTCCTACATCAATCCTTGATCCATGCTGGGCTTCCAGTTTTCAACCAAGCTAGGGGTCAGAGGGATGACAACTGAGACTGCCCTGGTTCAGCAACGGCATTGTCACCCATCAGTGATAAGGAGGAGGGTTCAATCCTCAGGTCAGAAACAAACTTTGATCTTCAAGCTCGGAGCATTACTGAAGGAATGCATCAGAACCTGAGGCGCTAAAATTCAGATTAAACTTCTGTCTGCATTCTTGGGTGGTGTACAGGATCCCAAGGCATTATTTAAGAAGGGACAGGCAAGCTCCTCCAGTGTCATAGACAATATCGATCCCTGAGCTCTCTAATTCCGTCCCTAAACCTCTCTCTTTTCTCCTTTAAGAACACTTCTTTAAAATATAACTTAAAGACTATGACCATCTGACCCAATATTGCCTTAGGTAGCCTGGTGCAATTTGTTTGGTAGCCCTCTGGTAAAGCATTGAAGGTATTTTGTTGTGTCAGAGATACCATATAAATGCAAGCTGTGTTGTTGGTCAAATACATGCCAGATACTTGGACATACATCCCACTCCTGTTTCTGGGATTTTGTAGCAGGACAACTGGCTGCCACATTTCCTATATTCCAACAGTGGCTACGCTTCACTGGCAGTCAATACCCAAGGACATCCATCACACTCCTGACTTGTGCCTTAAAAGATGGTGGACAGGCTCTGCGGGGTCAGGAGGGGAGTTACTCACTACAGGATTCCCAGCCTCTCACTGGCTCTTGTTACTGCTAACAGTGCATTTTAAACGCTTATCTATTTACATCGGCTAATAGTTGGGATGTACTTGGATCAATGTAATAAACAGCAACATTTCTGTAACACCACATAAAAATTGTGCACCCCTACATCCATAACTGCTCAAAGCCAAAGCCATTCTTTAATCATCCAGAGGTTACCCGAACAGTGATGCCTTAAATTGATTGCCTTTTACTTCTGTCAAAATGAACCCAGTTCATTACCTCCCTACAACAGGGCTAAGACCATGAACCAAACAATATGTCATTTCTTATTTTTGATGGAAGCCTACTCCCCACACACAATTTCCCCTCCAGCTTGACAATTTTGGACACATCCTCCAGCAGCAGATTATTTGAGAAATGGAGATCATGAAAATGTCTACATTATCCAGACACTTCTACATCTCAAAAGCATTGATCACACCTGCCTCAGTTCTTGACTCATACAAACGTGTCATTCTGGAGAAGATTTTCCACCTATCACCATATGATTCCAATGTGGAAATGATAACCAGGCAGTTTCTACAATGAGCAACCAAACCCAAACATTCACTTGGGTGTAAAAGTGAAGTCTACTCCTCTGTAATACATAATCTTGAAATTGCATCATGCATAATTCCACTCAGGTCCTGTTAGTTGTTCCTAACAAAACTCTCCTGAACACAATCCTGATATAGTAATGACACTCAGGTGATATCATTGCATGACTCATTATTGATGTAATGGTCACGTGAAAATGACCCAACACCACTGCAATACTCTGCCGGTAAATGCTGAGAGTACAAGATCTCCTGCTGTCTGAATTAAACACAGTCTGCAACATAAATCTGTAACAACAGATGAGAAAGCAGCTTCTTTCAGTTTGATTCTGCTGACTGAAAAGTTTGAAAACAAACTGCATAATCAACTAGTCAAACATTATTCTCATCGAGTCTCAAATCGGGTGAGCCACAGGATTCTTCACAGGTGTAACACCACTTAACATAAAATATAGGCTCCACTATCATCATTAAGGCCACCGTCTGTAAACCATCAAGCACCTGCAATCTACTCTGGCACATACACGTGACTGAACACATTCCTTACTTATTCCTCCCAGTCATCGTTCCGTCCGATTGGGCATTCCCCCCAACTTGGTGCATCTTGGATCGTTCTATATGTTCCACGTAAGTCTGTATCATCTGAAAGATAGAGCAACAAGTTAGACAGAGTCAACGAAGAAAGGGTAAGTAAAGTACATCTGGACAAAACTGGTAATTTTTACTATCTCAGGGCTCCAACTAGATACTGAAGTAACCAGTCTGTGCTACAATGCTGGGCTATAAAGCAGCGACAGGTCCAATGAATGCCCTCAGGAAGAGTGGTGGCCACATGGTGGGTCCAGATTGATGTGGCTAATCACACATTCAACCTGCACAGTGTAGGCTGGAGCTATGGAGAGTAATGGAGGAGGCTCCAATAGTCTTTGCTACACCTTGCTGACCAGGAATCACTGACTAACCTGCTGGAAAAGCTCAGCAGGCCTGGCAGCATCTGTGAAGAAGAAAAAGAAATCAGAGTTAACGTTTCGGGTCTGGTGACCCTTCCTCAGAACTGTTCAGATGCTGCCAGACCTGCTGAGCTTTTCCAACAACTTCTGTTTTCTTTCCTGATTTACAGCATCCGCAGTTCTTTTGGTTTTTATTCACTGACTAACCTATCACTGACACAGGTTGGAAGGATAAACAGGTTGTCAATCAATCAATCTAAAATGAAAGCAAGTTACTGCGAATCTGAAACAAGGAGGAAGTCAGCAGGTCCAGCAGCATCTATCTGAAGAGTCAAGAGCTAAAAGGTTTCAAATCTAATATGACCTTTCTTCAGTATCGGACTCGAAACGTGAATTCCCTTTGATCAATGACCGGGGGCATACATTTAAGGGTATGGGACAGAAGGTGTAGAGAAGATGTGAGGAGAAGTTTTCAGCCAGAGATTGGTGGGAATCTGAAACTCCCTGCCTGCGAGGGTGGGTGAGGCAGAGACCCTCATCACATTGTAGAAGTATTTAGATGTGCGCTTGCAATGTCAAGGCAATGGGCCAACTGCTGGGAAGTGGAATTAGAAGTTAGATGAGATAGCAAGAACTGCAGATGCTGGAGTCAGAGAACACATAGCATGGAGCTGGAGGAACAGAGCAGGCCAGGCAGCCTCAGAGGAGCAGGGAAGTCGACGTTTCAGGTCGGGATCCTTCAGCTTTCCCGCTCCTCTGATGCTGCGTGGCCCACAATGTTCCTCCAGCTCCACACTGTGTTTTTAACTGGCATGAACATAAATGGTCCAAGGGGCTATATGATCTTATGTTTCTCTCTCCATAGATCCTTTCCTCCAATCCCTGGCTGAAAACCTTTTCCTCACATCTTCTTTACACCTTGTTTCATACCCTTAAATATACGCCCCTGGTGGTTGATCAAACAGAATTCAAATTTTGAGTCCAATACTGAAGAAAGGTCATATTAGATTTGAAACATTATCTCGGTTTCTCTTTTCAGCTGTTGTTAATGGGCACATTATAAACACACCTTCCTTGACCATCAAGTCTGGGCGTGAGGCTCAAACTTACAGCCTCTGACTCAGAGGCAGGGACACTACTCATTACGCCACAAGCCCTCACAAACATCAAACCTCAAGTATCTTGGGATAAATATCAATTTGACCTGGGTGTATGTCTGAGCCCATGATGATATTTAGCCTCTAGCCTGGTCTCCCCCAATGATCCTCCATCAGAACTCAGCTCATCATATAGGATCTGTTTATTTATGGGCATACTGATTGTCTAGCCTCTTTACCTCAGTGTGCCGCAGGTGTAATGAATTATATTCCTTCTTCATGTCTGCTTCCCGCTCCTCCAGTCTGATAACTGAAATAAAGGACAGAACACAGCCTGAACATATTGAAAGAATCCAGTTTAATAAAAATCAGATGAAACCTAGCAACATAGAAACGAAGACAGAATTCTTACAGCAGAAAGTTCAGCACAAGATGAGAAAAACAAAAAAACAGTACTGCTCCATTCTTTCTTGTACCAAAACAGAACAGAGATGTGTCATGCCTGTGAGAAACAGGACAATTCAGCCAATTTGTTCAGTTTTGATTATTTGGGTTGTTTTCAAATGACATTCAAAATACCGTGGACACTGAGGGGACTCACTGATATATGAAAGATAGAATTAATTGCACGTGCAGTGCGTTTTGTAAAGTTTATGGTATTTTCTCAGATGACCACTGCTGGCACCTTGTAAAGGTATTTGCCACCTTCAGCAGGATATGGTACTGGGCAATGGTTGTTTGAGGAATTTCACTGCTCCTTTGCCCTTGCTTTAGCTTCTGCATATCTAGTGGTTAGTGATCAAGGATATACCACTGTCCAGTATCCACAGAAGAGACACCAGTCTTTAAAAATAAGATTTTATGCTGATTGCAACAAGTACAACTACATTTGGTCAGGTGCAATTACCACTACCGCAAGCAGCTAATATAAATACATCTGACCCCCCCCCCCAAAAGCCAGAGTCCACCCACAGATCACGTGCGACATCAGTAGAAGAGCTCAGTAATAACATAAGAGGTAGCAAAATATGAAACTTTGCCATTCTTTTCACTTTTGTTCAGTGATTTTTCTTGCAGACCTGAATTCTTCTGTAGACCAGTCATAATCATGCTGCTTTCTTTAAAAAAAAAAATTCACAGGAACTAGGCATTACTGGCTGGGCCTTTATTTATCGCCAATCTCTGTGACCTTGAGGTGGTGGCACCGAGCTGCTATCTTGAACCACTGCAGTCCTTTTGTATCTGTAGGCCCACAACGCTGTAAGGAAGTTGTACCTAAGATGGCATTGTGTGTTGTGACATTGTACACTTTTCATTGTACTCCGTACTCGAGTACACATGAAAACAAAACCTAAATCCAAAATGCCCAGAAGGAAGGATTTCTTCTGAACGCACAAGGATTAGCACGTATGCGTTGTGGCTTCAGGTAATTAGAATTATATTCAAACCCTTTCGTATATACTCCGGCAGTATGCAAATTCCTATAGATGAGCTGCACTAGCTTCAAATTCACATGGTGTTAGATGACGCATTTTGAACTGAGCGAATATCTTGGCTTATGAAGCAATATGTATTGTAACCCTTTCATTAGCTCATTAACAGCAAGGAGCGCAGCGACTCAAGAGTTAATGGTTCACATCCAGTGAAACTGACAGGAGCTAAGAAAAGCTGGTATCTGTGCTGGTGATGGGATGGGAGGGGGAGCAGATAGATGCAGAGGCAGCCCACAGAAACAGAGCAAAAAGGGTGGGCAGATAAAAGGGATCGGTGATAGCAAGCCAGGGAAGGAGGAGCAAGATGGGTGATAACGAGGACTGAGTAGTCGAAGCTGGGTCAGCTACGGTGTGGCGTGAGAGAGATGGAAGGGAGGTGATTGTGCCCTAAATACTGAAATCTGTGACAAAACTCTAGCAGAAAAGTGTATTATAAAGAGAATTGTCTGACTACAATATGCTAATAAAATGCAGCATCCACAACCTCAGGAAGTGATGCATTGTCACATTATCTTGCAGTCTCATTGCAAGATAAAGTCATACCAATGTAAAAGCAAAATACTGTAGACCCTGGAAATCTGAAATCTAGCACAAACAGAAAGTGCTACAAGATTAAAGGCTGAAAGATTAAGGTTGATTAAAAAGCTCCTCTAGGATTGTTAGTGGGGTGGGGGGGACGCAGTTAGTGAGAGGGCAACATGCAACACAGAATTCAATGAGTAATTAAGTTGGAGGCAAGTTAGCGAGTAATTAGGAAGACAAATAGAATGTTGGCTTTTAATGCAAGGGCTGTAAAAGTAGATTAATTTAGGACACCTGGTCAGCATGAATGAGTTGGACCAAAGAGTCTGTTTCTGTGCTGTACAGTTCTATGCTTATGACAACGCATTGTTGAAAGGACATCTAGAGTACTTAAGGAGGGATATGCCAACATTGGAAGCAGTTCAGGGAAGGTTTTCCAGGCCGATTCCTGTGTTGAAGGAGCTAACTTATGAGGAAAGGTTGAGAAGCTTAGGTGTGTGCCTACTGGTGTTTCGAAGAATGAGAGGTCATTTTCTGAGAACATGTAAAATTCTGAAGGGGACTTAACAGGGCAGATGCTCAGAGGAGGTTTTCCCTCCTGGGAGATCTAGAAATAAGGGATAGAATTTAAAAACAAAGCAAAGCAATCTCCCATGTAAGATGCAGTAGTCTTTTTCCCAGGGTAGAGGAGTCCAAAACTAGAGGGCATAGGTTTAAGGTGAGAGCGGAAAGATTTAAAAGGGCCCTTTATCACGCAGAAGGTGATACATGTATGGAATGAACTGCCAGTGGAAGTGGTGAGGTGGGTACAGTTACAACATTTAAAAGGCATCTGAATGGATATATGAATAGGAAGGGTTAGGGGAATACCGGCCAAATGCTGGCAAATGGGACTAGATTAATTTAGGATACCTGGTCAGCATGGGCGAGTTGGACCAAAGGGTCTGTTTCTGTGCTCTACAGCTCTAGGACTATGAGAATTGTTTCCTGCTCCAGTGGGAAGTCAGTCATTGAAAATATTCAAGGCTGAGTTGGACTTTTGATTGACAGGGGAGTCAAAAGTTATTGGCCACTGGTAGCAAAGTGGAGCTGAAGCCACAATGTGTTTAGCCATAAAACTTATTGAATGGTGCTGCAGGAGCGAGGGACCAAAGTGGCCCACTCACGCTCCTAATTCTTACCATCCTATAAATTTGAACTGTCAGATGCACACCTACTGGGTTCAAGGTGAGCAGAACTGAAAAGTTTGTTTCTTTACAATGCAGAGTCCTGGGACATCTCCTGCCAGCAACATGGTCTCCAGTTGGCAAAACAATAGGTGGTCCCATCATGGCTGCCATCCATCTTTGGCACTGTTATTCTGCAGGCAGCTCCCACCTCCTGGAGGCTGACTTGATGCCCGATCAAGGCATCAACATCTCAAAATAGCACAGGATCAGGAGCTGGAGATTGTTGGAGCTCAGACTATTGGGCCCACTTGAAAAAAACCCAGGCTGTCAGCTCACTTTTATTTAAACCAAGAAATACTCCTGCAATGCTGCTACCTCCCAGTCAAGTACATCTGAGAATAAACAAATTGGTTTGAGGGGTTCCGTGCTATAATAATAGCTTGGAGTTAACTCTCAACAAAAGGACTTCATTTGTCAAAGGAGCAGCGCTCCAAAAGCTTGTGATTTCAAATAAACCTGCTGGACAATAACCTGTGTCATGTGACCTCCGACTTTGACCACCCCAGACCAACATCGGCACCTCCACATTCAGTTTAGCAGTCACCGTGTTTACCTACATACAGCCAGATTTCTTAATTCTTGGGAAATACCTCACCTTCAAGGTGATGTAAACAGCTACATGTGTTTGTACAGCACAGCTTGCACAGAGTAGGATGTTTCCTCAGAGTCCAACACGCCACACATTAATCAGACCACCGCAGCTCCACACTTGTCATGTGTGATTGGGACACACTCGCCAGTCCTCCTCTGGGGTCTGAGCTCCGAGCTCCTGTAATCCAGCCTCTACCAGGACAATTGGGATATCCTCTCAATGTCTCACACACCAACCTGCTCCAGCACTCTCCAACCTGGTGCCCCAGACTCCATTCCCAAAAAAGCCTCCGAGCCCATTAATCAGAGGACCAGAAACCAAAAGGAAACATTACAAAGAGCCCACAACTTAGAAACTGTAGGATTCCAGGAAATACACTCTTCCGGATTTTCCTGATCTCACCTCAGACCTAACTGCACGGAACTCAACTTCAGGTCAAGATCCAAGCCAGCGTTCCCACCACAGGTTGAAGAATGTTTATAAGGCAGTGAACAATTTTCTTTGGCAGGAGGGAGATGCAAATCCTCTCGCTAGCTGGTATTATCTTTACTCCAGTGAAGAACACAAGCATCTGTGCCTGGTACCCCAACACTCACAAAGCCCATCAACCACGCTCACTGACTCACACTGTATTCTAATCTGCAAACGTCTCAGAATTGAAATCCTTATCCTGGTTTTCTAATATATCCATGACCTTATCAATCTTTGGAATTCTATCGCTAAGCATGTCCACCTCCCTCTCTCTTCCTTTCAGATGTTCCTTGCATGAATCTCTTTGACCAGGCTGCCAGTCACCTGTTCTAGTATCACTTCGCATGGCCCACTGGTGTGGGTGGGGGTGCAGGCCATGTGTGCGGGCATGCGTGCGGTGTGCGCGCACATGCATGTGTCTCTTAGGACATTTTAGCAATTTTTTTTCCCCTTCAATTCATTAACAGGATGTAGCTAGGCAAGAATTTAATTGCCCAGAAGGCAGCTAAGAGTCAAACACATTGCTGAGAGTTTGGTCTGGAGTTAGATGTAGATCAGACCAGTAAGGATGACAGATTTCCTTCCCTAAAAAGGACATGAGTGAACTAAATGGGTTTTTAAAGTTGACGATAGACAGTGATTGCATGGTCATCATTAGGCTGGCTTTTTAATTCCAGATTTTTATTGAATTCAAATTTCACCATCTTCCATGCTGGAATTGGAACCCATGATGTTAGAACGTAAAGCTGGCGTTCTGGATTATTAATCTAGTGACATTAGCAATACCATTACCACCACATCCCCTTTAAGGCTGATATAAATGCAAGTTGTTTTTGCTGAAGCAGGCTGGCCCTTTACGGTTCTCCATTGATAGAATGCACTCTAAACTTACGTTGGTCTGCATAGTTCTTAGATTTGAGTTCCAGCTGTCTGGTCTGTAGCTCCAAAGACTCCACGTGTGTCTGAAGTTCCTTCTTCTCCTGTTCCAGTGCATCTTCAAACTCGATGAATTTCTACACACATAGATAAGGGAAAAATGGTAAGAGTGATGGCAGCGGCAAAATAATCATGTTAAAAGCCATTCAAATGGTTAAAAAAACTTCTTTAGCAAATTAGAATTGCTGGTTTCCTCTTAGCATATTGTAGAATGGTTTGTAGAAAGTATATTATAACTTAGTGATATTGCATTATTTTATTCAGAAATAACACCCATTATTTAGGTTTGTCAATGAAACACATCAAATATTCAAACTCAAAAAGTCACTAGAGAGAATGTCTACTGAATAGCACTCAATGCCCTAGCAACCACATTGCTACCTCTGAACAGGAGACCTGAGCCAACCAATCAAAGCAATTCACACTTTTACAGCCATGAACAAACAGTGTTAAAACCAGCTTTACATATTTATATTTATATACAGAAGCTCTGAGAAGACTAAAACATGTCTTCTATATAAAACCTTTATTCCTGTCTAATGATCTACCTTGACTATAAAGATATGGGACTTCTATTCGCTAATTTCTTCTTAAATTCCAAAATCAATAAGTTGGAGATGCACTAGGTATAATGTGCCCCAAAAGGCTGGTCTTTATGTACTCAATAGTAATTACACCATTGTGTCCATGGGATAATTATAATCAATGCATCCTGTAAATATTTTGGATAACAGTTGTTTCACAAAACATATTACGATGTGTAAAAGTGCTTGAAATAAAGTCGTATACAATAAAACAAAAATATATAGCATGCAACCTTTACTCTGAAGAGATAAAATGATTATCTTTAAAGTTTCATGCTTTAACTTCAACTTCTATTAGTATGACCTTCTTTTGTATTTCTATTTTCTTCGGATGCCACTGGCAAGACCAGTATCTCATGCCCATTCCCAGCTGCCCTTGAATTCAGTGACTTGTTCAACAGTAAAGGGCTAACCACATTGCTGTGGGGCTGGAGTCTGATGCAGGCCAGGCCAGATAAGGATAGCAGATAAACCTTCCCCAAAGGAGGGTAATCAGTGAAACAGATGGGTTTTCTTCAGAATTTAGAAGGTTAAGGGGTGATCTGATCAAAGTCTTCAAAATATTAACAGGAAAAGACAGGGTAAATAAACTATTTACAGTGGTTGGGGATTCTAGAACTAGGGAGGGCATAGTCTGAAAATTTGGACCAGACCATTCAGGAGAGATGTTGGTAAGCACTTCTACACGCAAAGGACAGGAGAGGTCTGGAACTCTCTTCCACAAATGGCAATGGATGCTGGATCAGTTCTTAAAGTTTAATTTGAGACTGATAATTTTTGTTAAGCAAAGGTTTCATGGGATAAAGTCCAAAAGCAGGTATATGGAGTTAGGCCACAGATCAGTCACAATCAGAATGCTGGAACAGACTCTAAGGGCTGAATGGCCTATTCCTGTCCCTAGGTCCATCCTAACACGAGCTTCTCATTCCAGATTTTATTAATTAATCAAATTCAAGTTCTACCAGATGCCACGGTGGAATTTGAACCCACACCTCTGGAGTATTAGCCTGAATTGCTAGCCTAATGACATCACCGTGATGCCACTATCACCCCCACTATAACATGACACTAATATCTTTCATAATCAAAACATTGTAAAATGTTTAATAAAGTATGATATCAGAAGAACCTGCAGCAGTGTAACAGAAATACAAGCCTGTGGTTGCCACACTGCAGATAGGGACATACGTAGGATAAAGTAGGTTGACTATCTCAACAAAGAGGGCCCCTTAAACAGGAGAGGTACGGAACGGTTTTTTTTAGGCACTGTCAAATACATCACTACAAATCATGTTATGAAGTGCTGCGTGTAATGTGAAGTGGCCTCATCATAGATTATAAATTGGGACTTGGAATTTTAAAGCATCTTGTCCACCATCTCCAAATTCACCCTTCCACCATCGACACACAGCAGTAGCCAGATGCACTGCAACAACTGACTCTCACTCCTTCACTAGAGCCTTGCAAACCCACAAACTCTACCACAGAGGGGGACAAGGGCAGCAGATCCATGGGAATGCCACCAACTTCAAGATCCCCTCCAAGCTGCACACCATCCAGACTTGGAAACATGCTTCCGTTCCTTCAGTGTCGCTGGGTCAAATGCTGGAATTCTCTCCCTAACGGCATTGAGGGAGTCGCTACACCACAAGGACTGCTGTGGTTCAAGAAGGCAGCTCACCTAAAAATGTAAGGTGATGCATTTTGGGATGACTAACAAGGCAAAGGAATTACATGGAATGACAGGACCCTAGAAAGTATAGAGGATCAGATGGACCTTGGTGTGCATGTCCATAGATTCTTAAAGCAGCAGAGAAGGTATTTAAAGGTGGTTAAGAAGGCATATGGGTACTTCCCTTTATTCATCAAGGCATTGAATACAAGGGCAGGGAGGTTATGACGGAGCTGTATATTACGTTAGATAGGCCACAACTGTATGCATGATACTACTGGATGGATGTGACTGCAGTATAGAAGGTGCACAGGGGAAATGCAGCTGGAGTGATTGAGCCACGGAGAGACACAAGATAAGCTGCAGTTATTTTCCTTCATGCAGAAGGGGCTTGGGGGAGTGGGATCTGATTGTGGTTTTTCTCGTATTCATTTGTGGGACATGGGCATCGCTGGCTAGGCCAGTATTTATTGCCCAGAGGGCAGTTAAGAGCCAACCACATTGCTATGGCCAGACCAGGTAAGGATGGCAGTTTCCTTTCCTAAAGGATATTTGTGAAACAATGGTTTCATGGTCAACATTAAACTCTAAATTCCAAATTTTTATTGAATTCAAATTCCACCATGGTACGTTTTGAACCCAGGTCCCCAGAACATTACTTGGGTCTCTAGATTAACAATCCTTAGATAATACCACTAGGCCAATCACCACTTCTATTCTGTGATTTTACCACCACTACGTTCTCAACAGCAATTAGGAATAGCCTAACCAGTAATGCCAAAATCTCTGAATGAATTAAAACAAACAGATTTCAGTGTGGGCCACGATGGGGTTCAATGAATGTTATTTCATGGAACCATCACCAAGGAAACAGGCCTTCTGGAGAGGAAATGGGGAAGTTGAGAAATTAGCAAAAAAAAATGTAATTAATGTGTATCTGACATCTATCAAGCTAACACGATTTACTCTCTGCAATTATAGTTCATTAATGCTCAGATGTCATTTACAATTACTTCCACAACATGGCTGACACTTCCATAGTTGTATGAAATATATAACGATTTTTTAAACAAACTATTAGTGGAATGTTGATGAGATAGCAGGAACTACAGATGCTGGAGAATCTGAGATAACCAGGTGTAGAGCTGGATGAACACAGCAGGCCAAGCAGCATCAGAGGAGCAGGAAGGCTGACGTTTCGGGTCTAGGCCCGAAACGTCAGCCTT